CAGAAAATTTGTTAGCTTAATTTCAAGTCACAAAAAATCACAGCGTTTCTGGGCAAGAAAAGTAACGGAAGGAAAAGAAAAGTAACATAAAGAAAAGTATGGGAAGTAATTCGCCCGACGGCAAGAATAAGGTAAGGAACCGAAAAAATAAGGGAAGGAAAAGTAACATAAAGAAGAAAAGTAAGGGAAGTGATTCGTTATGGGAAGGAAAAGAAAAGCATCACATAAATTTAGGGTGACAACTCATGATAGGAAAAATCTCAAAATAACAAAAATAAATTTTAAAGTTTTAATTTTCATTTTTTAAGTGATTCCTGACATCTTGAAAGGGCTTTATTTTGGATAGGAAAAAGACATCAAATTTTGAGATTACTCAAATGTATGAGAAAATTGTTGATATCAGTGAAGAATTTAATTTCCTTTTAATTCAATTAAAAAAAAAAAGGAAATTGCTGAAAGGGAAAAAAAAGTTCTACTATAGAGCTTATATATTCTATCAATGCCAAAGAAATGAATGGTGTTTATTTTAAAGTTAGGGTTGTTAATGAGTTGAGTTATCATAGAGTTGTGAATAAATAGAGTCAAGCAGAGCTTTTTAAAACTCAAATTCAAGCTTGATGTTATATTAACAAGTCAAGTTCATATTTTTATCAAATTCAAGTGTTATGAGCTAAAGCTCAACTTGCAAGCTCGAGTTATACTTGCGAACTCAAACTCATATGGTGATGAACTCAATTAATTACTCAAATTTAATTTAAAATAAAAATAAAATTTTAAATATTTAATATATAATTACTTTTTAATATAGTTGAGTCAAGTATAATTGAATAAAGTTTGATCTCGGGCTCGAGTTGAATATGTTTGAGTAAAGGTTTACATGTGAGGTGAAATTAAAAGAATGTATGTATAAAGATCTCACATTAGAGGAAAAAGAGTTAAAAGAGTGCAATATATATGGTGTTTCCTCATACATGTTCGTATTCTCTCATGTGTGTGCCCCCAAAACGGCTCCATTGACTTCCTAATAGCCCTACCTTGAGCTACTTGACTCGAGCTTGAATTGGGCTCAAATCAACTTGAGCTTGAATTTGAGCTCAAATTTGAACTCAAAAAATTAAGTCGAGTCAAACATACTTAAAAAAATTATATACTAAACTTTTATTTTTATTTAAATTTTAAATTAAATTTGAGTAATTAATCAAACCTGTTAGTGGAGTTCGAGTTCACAAGTCAAACTCATGAATCAAGTTCAAGCTAATTTGTGAGTTAAGTTTGATTTTAATGTAGGACACTGATTGGTATACCATCTAATTTAACATATTATATAACATATTTATTAAAAAATTATTATTATTTGTATAAAACTAAAAATAAACAAATTTAAAGATATAATCATACATATAAAATGTAAAAATTGATTGAATTGACTATAATTATATTATATTTTAATAATTGAATTGAATAGATGTAAAAAATGTATCAATCCAGAGGGTGTACCAATTATCTTTCATTTAATATATTTAAACTCAAAAAAAAAAAAAAAAACTCCAACTCAACTCGATTCAACTCATTTACAATCTTACTTGGAGTAGGCGGATCCATTCTATAAATATAGCTTAAATCAAACAGAGCTCTTGCCCTCAAAAACTACAATTCATTCCTTGTTGGAGTAGTTTGTCTGTCTGCTCCAGCTTTTAGGAAGCATGATTCCTAATTTGGTACAGCCCGTTCCATATGTAAGTATGGCACAGTATCCGCTAATTAATCATCTAATCGCATAGAATAGACATGGTTCTTTGTTAATATTTTAACTGCGGCGAACTTCATTTAACAAGACATCTATGTTGCTTAATTTTCATTTTGTGGAAAAAAATATAGTTTTATATATGGTTATGTATTGTGTACAGACTAATGCAGCAGCATCTCTAAGTGCGATTATACCTGAGGTTCTTAAAGAAAATAATTATGAAAGGTGGAGCATTTTAATGCAACACTATTTAGTGGCTCAAGGCCTTTGGGATGTTATTCTATCAAGCCAGATTCCTCTTGCCGAAGGTCCAGAGGACTGGATTAAAAAGAATGCTTCAGCTCTGTTTGCAATTAAGATTTCATGTGGAGCAGAAAAGTTTGAACAGATTAAGAAGATGAGTTTAGCCAAAGATGCATGGGATGCATTGGCCGATTTGCATAAACCACCAAATGCAGACAAGCACAGAGGAAGTGAAACTGATGCAGGTTCAAGTTCCAGTTCCATCTGTCTTAAAGGTTTGTTCTTTGCTGTTTATTTTAATAACAATGCTATAATTACAATACCGTGTTCAATTTTAATTTTACAATTTTAATATGTCATTAAATAAGTTGATATATATAATTAATGTCACAAATATACTCAAAATAAAAAAAATTAATCATATAATAACATAACGTGATTGTAAATTTAATATCATGTGGCATTGTAATTATATAATTTTCATGCTTATAGCAAAAAAAAAATAAATATATATATATATATATATATATAATTTTCATTATATGCCATATAATAATCATTCTTTTAGCCTTGCAACTTCATCCATCCTCAGAGTCTTAAGGGATCCTTTTGGTTGGAGTAATGACGCATGTTTTAGTTTCATCAAACTATACAAATGAGGAAATTTTGAGAAATTCTTTAAGAAACTACAACCAGAAACATGTGTTCCTTGACATAATTATTTTATGCTACATTAGTATCTGACTAAGGAATAGTATTACTATTCCCCATAAGGGATGCGTTTTTCTTGCTTCTCTCCTAATCTTATAATTAATGAAAATTAATAATATCTCTCTTCCTAACTTCAAAATTTTTCAATTTCAATTTATTTTTATAATTTAATAGAGGAATATCTACCACTCTCATCTTAATTAAGGCTTTATTCGACAACATTCTTCTTGGTGTTTTAATTTTT